TTGATACACTGCGAGCCCCCAGCCACTCTGAGCGTTGCTGCAGCTATGCCTGAGTTGGTGCCGTGAAGAAGCTGCTTGTTCTCCTTTGGAGTACATCATTGTGTTACAACTCTTACAGCAAGACACCCGTACATACAACAGGGTTTAGGCCTCTTATTGCTGCATGCACTGACTCTATAGGAAGCTATTAAGTAATCTTCACTTAAATATAGGCATACTTGTCCACAAAGGGTGTAACGCTCTGCATTAAGTGTATGCACTTAATGTATCTGCTTAAAATGCATGCACATCAATTTGCATGCATCATAAAGACTAACGGCAACGTCAGTGTTATAAAATTGTCCACAGCTTAGTGCATGCATATAGTGAGGCTTTGCTGCACCTGCTTCTCCATCTGCTGTGCAGGAGGAGGTGCAGCAAAGTGTGCAGCATCTTCGTTTAAGAGTTAATATACCTCTACACTCGTTCTAATTACTTATAGATTAGAAGAAGGGGGTAAATGCTTCTTTTCGTGGACTCTTCTTTAAAGCAAGTTGACATTATTGCACCTCACAACAGCCCTGTGCATGCAGCAAAGACAAACAAATGATAATATGCTTATACCCTACCCTCAACACCATCCCCCGCCTGTTGCACACACGCTCTTGTAGGCGTGTATGCTGAGCAAAGGATGAGAGAGTTGAGGTGGCAGCTGAATCCGTAGCAGCAACAGCGCAGCAGCTGTGGGGAGATGGATTGTGTTGCTGCTGCTGCTGCTGCTGCTCCTGCTGCTGCTGCTGCGAGTTGCTGCCGCAGCAGCACAGAGCCACAGAGGCAGCTAAAGCACTTAAGTACGGTATATTTGACAAAGGATAATAATATTTGCAGGCCCTGAGCTAAAGCTCTTAGAGATAGCATATCTCAGCTATTTCTTTTGGTGTGGCTGAGACGGACAAGGGCATAGCCTAAATATAAATAAAATATAAATAAAAGGTTTTCATAGTATTTGATTAATAGTAAAGCCGCCATGAAGTTCGTTAAGAAAGCTGTCTATATCCGCTTAATATATTTGCAGATAAAAATGAGGCTGTTACACTCTTTGTAGATCTCTCTCTATTTAACTCTGTGCGTTTTCCAGTTTGTATTGCCGTTCAGCATTATTAATAAACGATATTAATTTTATTATAGGTATTAATAGCGGCACAATTACTTTTGTTATTATACGTACACCCTAATCATGCAGTGCTGGCTACAACACTGTATATTAAAGTATTTCGTCTTCTATCAGTTACACCCCAGATTTATCTTATACCTCTACTAGCTGACTCACCTCTCAGCCCTCAACTGCAATAAATAATATTCTACTTAATTATACCCGCTGAGGGAACTGCAAAGGGCTCAACCTGCTGCTGTCTGTTCAGCCGCATGCACCTCATACACCCTTCAGCCCTAGATAAGTCTGCTGTGTACTATGCAGTGGGCCCTAGCTCCTCCATATCAGCATACTATATAAATATATATATATATATATTATATGCATATATGCTGTATATACATACTCATACAGATATATGTAGATGGTTGGTGCATATCTGGCGGGTTGAGGCACGCGAGTTTAAGTTTGTTTTGCTGTATTTCGTTGTTAATATCAAATAGGGAAATAGAATTGAATATGATATACACCCCCCGAGGTGTACAAACACTGCGATAGTCACCGGGGGGTTTGTTGCAGCTGCGCGGCATCCAGCTGCAGCGGCAACGCCAGCAGCAGCAATCAACCAGTTGGCTGCAGCTGCACATTGTTACCTTCCTCTCTCTTCAGAGGCAAGCGAAACCAAACAAATTGATGCAGACGCTGCTGTCTCCATATAGATGCAACTGCATGCATATCAAGGATTTGCCTCGGGAGGCGGCTACCACATATGCTAAACAAGCGACCTGTCCTATACACACGCAAAAGCCCTTCGCCAGCCACAGCAGCAGCAGCAGCAGCAGCAGCAGCAGCAACAGCAGTTGCTGCAGCAGCACTTGAAACCTCGGGAAGAACTAGTATGCAGGCAATGCGATGGAGGATGTCCCTGAGGCCCTTGCTGCTGTTGTTTGCTCTTGCCGTTGCATTCAGCTGTACATACACCCCAAAGAGTTCCTGCATGTGGCTGGAGCCACAGACGATGTCTCTCTTTGTGACGAAATGCGTGCATGAGGTGCGGAACAGCAGCAACGTCTACGCAGCAGCACCTGCTGCTGCGCCCCCTGCTGCTGCAGGCGTTGCTGCTGCAGTCGTTGCTCCAGCAGCTGCTGTCGAGTAGGCTGTCTTCTCAACTCACAGGAAGTCTGGCGCAGCTCGTGAAGAGTTTGTAGACTGCTGCTGCGGCCGTTCAGCAGCGGCAGCAGCAGCAGCTGCTGCTGCTGTTGCAGCAGCAGCAGGCGAGGTAGGCGGCCCTGTGTGATCGCCTTCCCTCTTATACCGTTCCTCATCCGCCTTTTGTGCCGCCCTGCGCCGCAGCAGCAGCAGCAATACAAGAACAGCAGCAACAGCATCAGCATCAGCAGCAGAGAGTGTTGCAAGCAGCACGAACGATCTGGTTTTCTCTGCAATGTGTGCAAGTTCAAATTAGGGTTTCGCGTTTCAGCTTGAGGTTTAGATTTAGGGTAAATTAGGGTTTCGCGTTTCAGCTTGAGGTTTAGATTTAGGGTTTAGGGTTTAGGGTTTGCGGGATTACTTGATAAGGGCATCCTCCATACGCCTAAGAGGATCTACTTTGTCGTCTTTGTGCTGAGTCTTGAACTTCTCTGTCTCTTGCTGTATTCCTTTTCCTAACTTCACCAGCGCCTCTGCCCTCAGGCGCCGCACCTCCACAGAGACGCTCATATCTTTAAGCACCTGCAACCATCAGCATCAGCAGCAGCAGCAGCAGCAGCAGCAGCAAGGCAAACATCAACAGCAGCAACAGCAGCAACATGCCGAACTCTATTGAATTCAGTTTCCTCTCGCAGCGCCAGAGCAAACCAAATTAAAAAAAAATAATAAATAAAATATGCGACTCATACGAAGACAAATAAACACTAAGATTAGCAGCGAGTTCCTCCCTCTCCGACTGGTTTAAGGGTTTAGGGTTTAGGGTTTAGGGTTTGCATTATACCCCTCCCGTTTCTTTTCGAATCCCTTTCTAGTCTCCTCTATTGCATGCAATTCAACAAAAGCACTACAACTATGCATGCATATATATATATATGCATATACATAAATATATAAATATATATATATATATTTACATATATATACAAATATATATATATATATATATATATTTCAAAACCCTACCTTCTTGGCAGCTGCCCTGACAGTTGTCTCAATATCCATGAGGCAAATACTCAGCATCGTCTCCAGAATCAAAGGAAGGGTTTCCTCAAATTGTTTTATCTGCGCACACAAACCCTAAACCCTAAACCCTAAACCCTCAACGCTCCGCATGGCGGCTTCAGAGCGCTCCGCCTGCCCCTCCGCCAGAGAGAGAGAGAGAGAGAGAGAGAGAGAGAGAGACAGACAGACAGACAAAGAGAGAGAAGACTATCAGCATGAAGCCAAGTGGTTATCTGCATGCTTACATCTTCAGCTGTAGGCCCAGCCTCAGGTACAGTTTCCCCTTCCTTTGCATTCTTCTTCGCCTTTTCATGTTTCTTTTGTCGTCGCTGTTCACGCTGCTGCAGCTGTCGTGCAGCAACAGCAGCACGAAGTGCAGCAGAAGCTGTACGCCAGCTGTTGCCCACTGACCGGCTCTGCGCCTGCATCTTGGCGTAGCTGTCAGCAGCAGTAGCAGCAGTAGCAGTAGCAGCAGTAGCAGCAGCAGCAGCAGCAGCAGAAGCACACGAAGCGTTATGAGAAGTGTAGGCAGCAGCTGCGCTGCAGCAGGGAGTTTATACAGCATCAAACCCACGAGATGGAGAAACACTCGCAAAAACAAACGAACAGACAGACAGAAAAAATAAAGCTGATAAAAAGGCGACATATGTAATATATATATACATATATATACATATATATACATATATAATATATATATAAATAAATATATGTACTGTACACATATAAACAAAAATAAACACCCAAACAACTCTCCGGCCCCCCAAGCACATCCACATGAATACATACATACATGCATACATACCTACATATATATGTATATATTATAAATATATATATATATATATATCTGTATAAATATATATTATATATATTATATATTATATATATTATATATATTATATATTATATATATTATATAAGGAACTCACCGGCCCCCCAACCCCAAGAAGGTGTCAAGTTTCCCCAAGTATTGCGTGGCGTAATTTTCGTAAGTCCACGCAATCGCCTCTAAGATGGCATCTCCAAACGAAGACTGAAGAGAGAAAGAATAAGTATATATATATATATATATGCATATATATATATCTATATGCATATATATAATATATATATATATTCTGCAAGAAATATATATATATATATATATCTATATACTACAATAAAAGTATATATGTATATATATGTATGTATGTATATATTCTACAGTAAAAGAAAAACAAACAATACTTTCTACAATAAAAGAAAAATAAACAACATTTTAATCTAGTATATATATTGTCTAAAATAAAAGAAAGACATTTCAATCTAGCACATATTGTCTACAATAAGAGAAAAACAAACGCCTTAATCTAATATACTTTGTCTACAATAATACGAAGAGCTCCTACGCTCTTTCTAATGGTAGTATTTATTCTCTATTCATAAATATACTGCCTGGTGAAACCCAAAGAAAAACAAAAAAAAGGAGATGGGCTGTGCAGTAGCACAACTAAAACACTACTCAGCGAACCCTAATAACTCAACAGCACACAAACACATCTGCTGCTGCTGCAGCTGCGGCTCCTTTTGCAGCCCTTTGCTGCACGAGCACCACGCAGAAAGACAAAAACAAGAGAATGCTCTGCGTGGCGGTTCGTTGTGCATACCTGGCAGAGGTTTCTAGCCTCTTGAATCATTGCTTGAGTCCAAGCCTCCACCTGCTGCTCCCGCTGCTGCTGCTGCTGCTGCTGCGGCTGCTGCGGGCTCTGGGGCCCCTCCAGCATGGCGTCTACGTACGGCTGAATTCGCTGCTGCAGCAACACAGCCAACTGAACTTCTCTCTTCCTCTGTTCGAACGCAAACATCTCCTCCGATATGTCATCGCCTCTAGCGCCCTGAGCACATAACAAACCCTAAACCCTAAACCCTAAACCCTAAACCCCTAAAGTACGAACCCTTTAGCAGCAAACAAAGGAAGGCGATGCACATGAGGTGGCGGCAGATATTGTGAGTCAACGAAAAACAAAAGCCGATAGAGAAGTACTTTCAGACTCAAGCAACGTAGCCTTCGCAACAAGGAAATCCTTTTTAGAAATAACGTCTAATGCTGGCAGTGAGTTTGAGGTGTAACTGCAGGTCAGTGATGACCGCGCAGGAGTGTTGTGTACAGGATGCATGCATTCATTTGATGTGTATATATGTTTCCGTCTGCTGCTGTATGTGCTTTGGCGTATTTCAATCGGCACTGTCTTCTCACTGCTGCAGTATGCGTATTGGACTGAGCTGTCTGTACACTCCAGTGGCATACTTGATGTGGTGTGTTGCTGCGTCTTGTGTTACTGCGGGGCGCTCTCAGCATCTCGGACAGCAGCAGAGTGTTTTACGCGAGAAGATGCTGCACTAGGGTGTATGCGGAGTGGTGCGTAGGTGTGTCTACGCCGCAGCATTTGAATGAAGAGTGCCGTTGCCTTTTGCTGTTTCGCTTACCCTGCTGCCTGGGGCGTCAACCATTTCAACGAACATAGCCATCTTAAGCTTTCCAATATAGGGTTCGAGGGCTTCAGATCCAAAGAGCATCATAAAGAATAAACCACTATCAATGATAGGCATGTCTTGTGCTGCAGCCTGACCATGCAAGTCGTACTGAGCTCTCCTCTCCTCCTCCCCCAACACTTGATATGCCTCCCCCAGCTGCTGAAAGCGCTTCTTTGCAGAAGGATCGCCTGGGTTCTTATCAGGGTGGTATTTGCGAGCAAGCCTATAGTACTGCCTTCTTATTTCTTCAGGCCTTGCATCGGGCGACACCTCCAGCACTTCATACAATGTCGTATCCACCACCTTACGATTGCCGCTGCTGCTGCTGCTGCTGCTGCTGCTACTGCTGCTGCTGCTCCCGCTGCTACCAGACTCGCGCTTGTGAGGATTCTCCTGGCTCAGCACCTCAGCCGCCTCCTCTTGCAAACTGTACCAATTCGGCTTCCACACCTGACGGACACAAACCAGCCACCAGCACAACTCCCGCATGCGAATGCATGCAAAAAAAATGCATGCAAATGCATGCAAAAAGAAAGAATGTAGATGCATGCAGAGCAAATGAATGCAAACGCATGCAAAACGAATGCAGTAGGATTCTACGGCTATTCTTGTATGTAGATAAGAAGAAAAGCGAGAGGTCTGAAGTATATGTATATTATACATATACATTTGTATATGTATAATTGTTTGGTTTGTGGGTGCAGTTTGCTGCAGGATATACACTGCAATATTTACCCTTTCTTTCTTATCCCATTTCTTTCCTTGACTCTTCTCGTGGATCGCCTCAGGTGTATTGATTAAACCCCGAGTAACCTGATACCCCGCTATGCAAATTCCTGTTATAGGTAGAGTTACTGCAGCCACAACGCCAGCCCCAATGCCTTTAAAGAACCCCCCCACTCCCTGTTCATTCGCAACACAACACACCAAACACTTCTGTCTACTCATACAAACTGCACGCAAGATCATTCATGAGGCGTGCATGCATGCATGCAGGTTGATGCGTGCATTATCCATGCATGCATGCACACAGCTCATGCATGCGCGTGCATCCATGCATGCATGCATGCATGCAAGTTGAAAAGGAACAGCAGCAGCCCCAACGCCCCCCCGTAGCAAGCACAAATGCAACAAAAAGCAACAAAAACAAACCTGCTGGGCAGCTCCTACAGCAGGAAGAACGAAGAGAGAAGCCGCTCCAACCGCCACGCCTTTCCCCACAGACTTCAGCCCCGATGACAGCCCCGCGCCTGCATGCATGCATCAAAAGAGAAAAAAAACAGACAAGGAGTGCTGTTAATATATTCATATATATATATATATACATGCATATGCAGCGACGAATATACTTATCTACGTACTTGCATTCATACATACGCACGCGAAGACATGCATATATATATATATATATATATATATAGACGCACATAGTTGCATATACACGCATGCATACATACACATATGCAAAAACCTATACATATATATATATATGTATATATATATATATATACATATATATATATGCGCATGGATATGCATAGAGGTATCCAGTCATACACATATATAACGCCCACGCACACACACACGCACAAAAGCATGCGTACACACAAACAAACAAACGAACAAACAGACAAACAAAGAAACAAAAAGTAAGAAAAACAAACAAACAAACAAACAAACAAACAAACAAACAAACAAACACGCAAAGAGAGTAATCATCACCTGCGTCTTTAGGTTTGCGAGTGGAGAAGAGGCCGCCAAGGACTGTCTTATCAGGGGGAGGCGAGGGCTCTCCCGCCTCATTGGGTTTGCTTACTGGTACGATTGACCACACTGTACATACACCGCAACAGCCCTAAACCCTAAACCCTAAACCCTATACCCTAAACCCTAAATCTTGGGCTCAGTCGCCGCCCAAACCCTAAGTCGCAGTTGTTGAACCCTCACTCCAGTTCAATGGCATGCAAACGCCTATGCAGTATCTACAGTCGTATCGAGGAAGAATATAGAAATCAGGGTTTAGGGTTTAGGGTTTGAACACGCACTCTTGGCGTCGTATTCCGCCTCCCCTGTTCCCTCCTGCGGCCGGCGATGCGCCTTCACACGCAGACTCTTAGGAGAATGCATGCTTCTGCTTATGCTTCTGCTGGGGCTGGAGCCGCCTTTTTGCTGCTGCTGCTCCTGTTGTTGCTGCTGCTGCTGCTCCTGCCGTTCCTGTTGTTGCTGCTGCTGGTCGCCAGCACCGTCAGAGCTGGGGCTGTTCGCATTGCTGTGCTGCTGATCAGCCGGGCTCTCTGGTGCTGCTGCTGATGCTGCAGCAGCAGCCTCCTTTGCTGCACGCTGGGCAGCTCCTCCTCCCCAACGACCGGGAGACTTGCCCCCCCCTGAAACGCGACGCATTTTAGGGGGATGAGGTGAACGTACACCTCAGAGGTGTGTGCCTGCAGCAGATCGATGCCGCTGACAACCCCCCAAGTCGTTGATGCGAGTGTTGCTGCTGCTGTGGCTGCTGCTTTCCTTGCCGCTGCTGCTGCTGACAGGGTCGGTGCTGCTGCTGCTGCTGCCGCTGAGGCTGTCGATTGTGTCGGCAGGTGTGAGTCAAGTGAAGCCAAAGAGCAGAGTGTGCAGTCAGCAGCAACAACACAAGCTCAGTTTGAACCCGAGACGCCTGAAGCGCGAGCAGCAGCAGACGGGGGGCCCCTATGAAGGGTGGCGTGAGGTGTATGCGCGCTAAAGGAAGAAAAGAAGAAAACCCTGCAAATATAGAATCAGTGAAAGGAAAGCATATGGCTAAATGAAGGAGCTACGCCCACTGTCAGCTCCTGCAGCATATGGCTCAGCTGTTGCCGCTGCTGGTGCTGCTCCTGCTCCTGCTGCTGCACCCGCTCTCAGAGAGTTCTAGCAACCTAGCAACCAGCTACACGACAAATAACTGGAAAAAAACAACAATTTGCTTATCAACTAGCGGTGAGGAAACGCCAGCGCTACTGCGGCTGTGCTAGGAGCGCATGCAAACGTAGCAGCAGCAGCTGCTGCTGCTGCTGCAGCAGCAGGGCTCGCTTGCAGAACAAACGCTTCTCGCTGCTCCCAATGGATTTTTGAAACGAGTGTTTTTTTGTCTTTATTTAATTAACAAACAGTAAATAATTAACGAGTTTTTGATGATTCTCGCAGGTAAGGGTAAAAGGCCACTGCTCGCAGCACAGCAGCGTAGGCCATGCAGTCAGTGTTGTCTATACAGCGTACAGCGCGCGCGACGTAATGGTGTGCTGCTTTGGGTCTCCGGTTGTTTTTCGTTGAGATTTGTATTTCTTAGACGGAGTCCATTAGTCTAATACGTGCGGCCCCGTCAAAAAGGTGCAGCATGGAGGCTTCTTCTGCTTGCCTGTTTGGGGCTGTGCACATGTTGCACCGTGTAAAGGGGGTCCTCAACCACTGTAGAGGACCGGCAAGAGCTGAAATAGAGTTAAACAGGTTCAGGTAATAGTTCCGAAAAGCCGCTGACCTCCCCCCAGTCTCCGCAAGTCCTGGACACAACAGCGCAAGGCGCTTTGTCGGGTATGAAGGGTCGGCGGCTTATAGGTGGCTTGCAACACACTGAGCTGTAGCTCCTGCTACAAGGGGACCCTGCATATGCTCGTATCGATCCCCTCTTTTTAATGCACGCTCTAAGGTTGTAGATAATTGCTTAACGCCTTCTTGGCCCTCATGAATGCCGGCGAAGCGATGCATGTACTAACTTCAGTGCATGCTACTTGCTCACTCCCCTTCTTCACGAAGGTCGCACGCACCCTCATCTTCTCGGTTGTCCAGAAATAGATTTGTAGACAGAAAGGAATGGCTCCTGCCGTACTGCTTGGTGTTGCAAAGGGCGCCGTGTCCGGTGCGCTGCCGGTTCCTCTTGCTGCAACTCGTGTTGCTGTCTTGCTTGCCGCAGCATCTCTTGCTGCTGGATAACTTGCTGTTTGAGGTAGTGCTGGTCGGGCTAAAGTTTTCGCTGCGTCTAATCTTGAAGGAAGGGTAGCAGATCCTTACCAGCTGCATCAGCCATCCAGCTGTGAACACGAGAAACCCAATAGTGTACATACAGCCCAGCGAGGACGCTGAAGTCGGCGAGTGCTACGACGAAACATGCATCCATGCTCAGGAGTTTGTTTTGTTTAATATTCTGTGCGATTGCTTTTTCTTGTTTACCTGTTGCGCTGTTTTGGGGCGTTTTGCTTGTCGATCCCTCTGCTTCCGTGTGATGGGTGCATTTTGCGCCGCTGGAGATCGACTAGGCAGTGTCTGAAGCATCAGCAAGTTTGCTTTGTGCTGGCACTAGTATTGTCAACTCAGATGTATTTTCCTGCCCCATCAGCACCTGCTCTTTTCGGTTTCCTCTGTGGAGCTCATCAACTCACAACTCGGCTGTTTCTCCGCTACTGTTGCAAGCACTGCTGACAGCAGCAGCGACGCCCCAACATGGGTCCCTGTTGCTTTCTCTATTAGCATCCGCCTATCATGACGGCACTGCGACAGACCCAGCTACAGTTCCTCTGCAGCTTCCTGCGCGGCTGTTGCTTCGTGCGCCTCTGACACTCGTGCAACAGCAACAGCAGCCGCTTCCACCACAGGTGCAGCTCCTGTTGTTACTGACCTGCAGCAACAGCGCCAGTAAGCAAGCTCTCGTGTTCTTTTAAAATGCTGTCTCTCAAGAAGCAGTTGCAGAGGACTCCGCAGGTGCTGCAACTGCTTCTGCAAAGTTGGGTGAGCGCAAGGACGTCGGCTATGTTCTATGCCGCCCATCCCTCATTGACTCTGCCGAAAAATTGTCACCAGCCACTCGCTACAATGGGTAAGTTGCGTTTACGGAAAAAAAAGCTATGGGCGCCCTCGTTTGTGTATTGGAGCATGGGATGCACTAATTTCCCTGTCGTCGGGATGTATGGGAAGCTGCAAAAACTCTTCCGCGTAGTCAAATGATGAATAAAGTGCTCAATCATGCAGGCGGTCAAGTATTTCGTCACTTCGGAGCATCGGAAAATTCCACTTCACCGTGATCCGTTTGAGGTGCTTGAAGTCGACGCGAGTGAGCCGCCTTGCATCCTGGTCCTTTGCAAACACCAGTTTGTTTCCCAACATTGTTGTTAACGGCTGAACTTTTGCCGTTTTCCTTGCATTATGTATGCATGCCCATGAGGTGCTTCGCTCAGAACACTTAAAGGAAGCTGTGTTGGTCTTGGGTTTAGGGTTGACCCAAGTGTTGGACACAATGGTTTTCGGATAAGACAGAGGACTCTCGTCGCAGCTGGGGTTCTGGGGAAGGACTCTGGGGTTCTCTTCCAACCAATTCGTGCTTAGAGTTCATTTTCTTCATTACTAAATGCGCAGCTCATGCTCTGGGAGTTTCAGTATTTGGACTTCGTTGCTGGCAGCCATACGCTGCTCGCCAGGTTGCGCGTCTGCAGTGGGACTTAGGGAGCTGCCCCAGTCATTTACGAGGGGACCCTACGGACACTGGCAAGAAACCAGTCAGTTTCGGAAGACCTGCCCGGTTGTGCTCGGCGATTTCCCTATAACAAAGCCAGGACGCAAGGGTTGCTCGCTTGCCGATCGCAGCATTCTTTCTCGAGCAGTTCACTGCTCCAGCCCTTTGCTGCCCCTGCGTGTGACTAGGCACGGGACCCTCTTTATATTCTCCAGTGGAAGCTGCTTTCCTCGATGGGGTTTTTGTTGGTTGCCCAACTGGTGGGGGGAAAGCAGCACTTTTTCTTTTTTTGGTGCGTAGGTACTGCATCTCGTCGGCGGCTTGCACCCTTTCACCCGTTTGTAAACAAGAGTACTACGGCGGAGTGGGAGCTTTTTAGAACTTCTGTATCATTGGTTCCTAGACGGCCTGTTGCTGGAAGAGAGGCAGTAAGTGACTGGGCAGCGGAGAGGGGACTAAGAATTGATGCTTCTCGATGTAGCACTATCGATCGTTCCCGTTAGTCAAGCGTCCGTAATTGTGTCGTAGATTGTTTCCTTTCCGCGCTGGAAGTAGACGTACATCGCAGGCGACCCTAGAAAGCTTCCATTCTCTCCCGATGTGCTACCAAAAGAAGCACCACTAGTAGGATGTAGCCACTATGGTTGTGGCTGCCCTTCAAGTTTGATTCCGCCACTAGGAATTGTGGTGCTTCAGGTGCATTTTGAAGACTAAAGTACACATCCGGAGAAGCATCGAAGGCTTGCACTGCGTCCACATGTATGCGCCCATCTGATTTGGAAGGCGGGCAAGAGCGGAGGCACTCCTCATGAGTTGTTCTAGGAGTATGACCATTCCCGTCTGGGTCGGTTGAGGATAGTGTGCTCGCTTCAGTGCGACGAGGCGCCCAGCCATTTCTAGGAAAGCAACCTTTTCCAAAGGGAAGGTCGTGCTCCACCACCACTATCTATGTAGAGAAAGACGGAATCTCTAATAAGGCTTCCACAATGAATATAAAACTCCTCGTGCAGGCAAAGAGCCACCAAGACTGGTTAGTGCTAAAAACCAGGCCTGCCAAGTGTGGGGGCAGGGTCCCCAGCTCTCCCCTGAACCGCTGAATTATGTGTCGGTACAAAGTGAAACGACAGCCAACGATTTTTGCTGAGAACCGCCGTGAGTTCCAACAGCCAAAAAATATTCATCAGGCTCCTCGCCTCCTCAGCGCCGGGGTTCAAAAGCCTGGCGCTTGTGAAGAGAGGCAGCTGCCTGTTATGAGTTGCAGCACACCTTCCTGTAACTTGTATTGTAAGGCAACCCCACGTAGAACCCTACCCAAGCTCCTTTTGATGCAGGCACTAATATCACCCGAAATCACTAAACACTTACTTGGCCCTCAACACTTACTTGGCCCTCATTAGCAAACCGTAACGTGAATACAAATGCATGCACTAACCTCAGAGAAACTATGTAACACAACGGTTCAAGGGTTCATCACATTCGTTACCCAAGTTGGGGCTGAGGAGTAAACTAGATTTCCGGTAGCTGCTTTGCGCTTGGTACTGGGGAGGAACTTGACCACAAAAAGGAAGGAATACTTGCAAAGGCAAGCCAATTGCTGTGTACATGCAGATATCATTTATATAAGCACCCCAGCCCTCTCCAGCCCGCCGCACTACACGCCGTGAAAGCCCCGGGACTCGAAAGCATGCACTCTAGCAAGTCCTAAACACTAGACCCTAAACCTTAAGCTTCAGCCGTCGACTCTAAACCCTCGTTGGGTTTGTCCGGTTGTTTGCGGGTTCATTTCGATTGTTTTGATGGCATTTATGGATATAATTCGGCAAAATGGATGAAATGCGAGGTGAGCCACACAAAGGTCCTTTGGGTGTCACTTTTGCCGCAGCAGCAGCTGCAGTGACACCCAAGCTGCTGTTTGGATAATTTTACGTATTTTTCGTTTTATGTTTGCCATTTGTCTCTTCAAGGGCGCTTACGGGCCCTTGTCCAGCTTTGATATCTATCCCGTTCCCCATAAACTGCGCTGCGGTTATGGTTGCCGGCTCGAGGCACCAGCGGTTATTTAGTTGTCTTGACGTCGCAGCACTCCAGTGTATCCGCATGCATTACACGCTAAGCGGCAGAGGGTAGTCGAAGCGACAGCAGCCGGGGAAGATGCGGAATGGCGCTCGGGCTAAGGGCGGGGGGCTTGAACTGGGGTCGAATGCTTCGCTAGGGTTTAGGGTTTTTATCTTGGGGTGGACGTTTGCTGCGCAGCAACCCTTGACTCCCTCATGGGGAGGGATCGCAATGAATACGGTGCGAATGCGAAGAAGGGCGCATCTTTTAAGGCGGAATCGGTGAGGCAGTGTGAGGGTTTAGGGTTTAGGGCTTTCGGTCGAGGCATCAGCATTAAATTCATCAGCATCGGCAGCAGGAACAGTGTCACAGCGTGAGGGTTTAGGGTGTTTTGCGTGTCTTTAGGTCTGCAAGTTCTTCTTGCTGGATTTCTGCCCCCATGATCTTTTTCCAAACACTCGCGTTGATCTAGGCCCGTAAGGCTTTAGGGTTTTTCAAGGAGCAGCCCAGTCAAAATATCTGCGACGAATCGCAGTGTTTGCAGGGTTTAGGGTTTAGGGTTTGGGGTTTCTGCTGCAGATGCGACAGGGAGCACCGGGCTGACCTGAAAGTTGCTTTCGAGGCAGATCCAGAGAAGGAGTTCTACCAAGCGCTGTTTGAGACCGAATTCGCACGTAGGGTTTAGGGTTTGGGGTTTGGGCTCGGTTTGGGGGGTTTTGGGGATGTAGGATTTGTTCTGGGGGGCTTGGCGCAGCGTTTAGGGTTTTGGGTTTAGGGTCTGCGCGCAGGCTATCTGCAGCGTCTGGTAGATCAGATGGAGAACAGAATTAAAAGAGTACAGCAGCGCATAGACGCTAACAACCAGCCGGTCGAGCTGAGCAAAGAAAACGAAGAAAGGTATGTCGTAAACCCAAATCATGACGTTGAGAGGCACATCCGCTCCAGCTCGTCTTGAAACGCATACCCTAAACCCTAAGCTCCAACCCTTTGTTATCGCTAGGTCATGTTTGCCTGTCGGGGGTTGTCGTGCTGGGGCTCTTTGAGTTTAGGGTTTAGGGTTTAGGGGTTGGGGATTGCGTGGGTTGTGGTAGGGTGAATGCGATGAACACCGAGATTTCCGAACTTTTGAAGCAGCAAGATGAAGCCGGATCGAAGGTGAGATGCTTGCTAGGGTTTATGTTTTAGGGTTTAGGGTAAGACATTGATTGTTAGTGATTGTGCAGCGGCGATTTGCTGCGGCTCAACGAGTGCAGTCTCGTGCTTCTGGGTTAGAGGTTTGGGATCCAGGGTTTAGGGTTTAGGGTTTAGGGTTTAGGGTCTAAGGTTTTGGCGCTCAGGGAGACATCGACGCTGCAGAAAAGCTGAACGAGAAAGTTGCGTTTCTTCAACGGGAAGTGTCCAGGTTTGTAAACCCTAAACCGTGTGCCGGCCTGCCAAATGTGCTTGGGTTTCAGGTAAACTAGGGCTTAGGGTTTAGGGTATTGATGCGAGGGTTTACGGGTTCTTCTTGCTGCTGCAGGCTGAAAAACCCCAATGCGGATATCGCCACTATTCGCGAGTCTCAGTTGCGGGTACGTCAGTGTATGCGGATTCGAATATCAGGTTTTGAAGAAGGGTTGAGGGTGTAGGGTATTGAGTATCAGGTCTAGGGTTTAGGGTTTAGGGTTAGTGTAGGTCTCGGGTTTGGAGTTGAGGTTTTGGGCTTTATCGTTGGCTATAAACAAGCATGACGGGTTCCTGCTTTGCAGTGGCTAAGGGTTTAGGGTTCAGTGCGCAGGGCGAAGGGTTTGTTGCTTCCGGCACCACTGCAAGGGTTTAGGGTTTAGGGTTTAGAATCTGAGTGTTTTGGGAAGAATAGGGCTCCTTTCGAGTTTATGTAGGTTCCCGGGTTTAGGGTGAGAGGGTTTGTGAGGAACAGCGTTCGTGTAGGTTGTATCGGGTGAGTGTGGGAGGAGTAGTGCGTATTGGTTGCGAGGGTTTAGGGCTTAGATTTTAGGGTTTGGGGTGTATCTGCAGGTGTGCGCGACCTGTGGGGCGATGCAATCGACTGGGGACGCGATGTGCCGCTTCGAGTCACATGTGTCGGGGAAGCAGCATCGGGGTTGCGAGAAGATTCGTTCAACTCTAGCAGCATTAAAGGAGACAGAGGCGGAGCGTGAGGCAATCCTCAAGAGGTACAAGGAGAAGCAAACGGAAGTTGCAGCAGCAGACAAACTCAGTAGACGCAGGGAAGCTGGACAGCGAGACAAAGAACTCGAAAGAGAGAGAGAAAGAGATGCAGATGAAAGAGGTGTTCATAGATACCGACAGCCGAGAGACACTTCCTACGGAGGAGGGGGGGGATCGTACGACCGATCCAGAGACAGAGATAGGGACAGGGACAGAGACAGGAGAGACAGGGACAGAGACAGGAGAGACAGAGACTACAGAGACAGAGACAGAGACAGATACTACAGAGATAGGGACTACAGAGACAGGGACAGATACAGAAGTGGAGACAGAGAGTTACAGCTCCAGTTATAGATCTCGAGATCGTTCCCGAGATCGATCCCGGGACGCTCGACGCTCCAGGGATCGGGATCGATCCCGGTCTAGGGATCGATCCCGGGATCGGGATCGATCCCGGGAAGCGCGGCACCGGAGCAACGGATCCCGACACAACGAAAGCCACAGGGACACTGCAGCAGCAGCAGCAGCAGCAACCGAAAGCAGGGGGGACCCCAGAAATGCCCTTCAGTCGTTCGTTCATGCAGCAGCACATCCCGCCAGCAGCAGCAGAACGCCGCACCACGACTAGTCTCTCAGGGGTTTTTTGTTGGGTTCCTTTCCTGTTTGTAGCACAACGATGCAAACTTAACCAAACCAATCTTTATTCATGGCGCATTTTGCTGTTGCTGGCCGTCTGCCGCTTTTCCATCAGTCTCGATATTCGTTTCTGCTTGTGCCTGTCTCTGTGTGTCTGTGTATCTATTTGTCTCTGTCTCTCCTGATTATATTTGTATTCTCATGTCCTCTGTACCTGCTTGTCTCTATTCCACTATCAGTTCGTCTCTGTCGTTCTGCGTGAGTGCGCGTTTATTGATATTGCTCTTGTTTTATTTTTTCCTTTTTTTGCTGTTTGCAGTTTTGCCGCCTGGTTTGTTTTGTTCCCCTTTTTTTGCTTTCCTGTCTGTCGTCGTAGCTCTGCCCCTTGCTGGATACGTTTCTGTTGTTTGTTTCCGTTTGTTCCCTTCTCTGGTGCAGAGAAGGGAACAAACTTGTCTGCACTGGCATTTCTTGTGTCTATCTGTGCCTGGTAACTCACTTCAAACTGAAGCTTTATGAAGGGCTGTTCAGATACGCCGAAGCAAAACAGATAATGCCAATACAGCCGTTGCTGCTGCAGCTCAAACTGCGGAGCAGTTGCCGCAGCAGCAGCAGTTGTTATGACTGCAGCACTTGTTGCTGCAGCAGCAGCTGCAGTGCCAACGTTTGTTTATTCGTCGTTGGGAGAAATAACATCATCAATCTTGAGAATCATCTTGACAACCTGATGATCGCAAACCCCAAACCCTAAGCCTTAAAAGCCCTAATTGCGGGTCTCTAGAGCCCTGCGTGGGTCTTTAGCTTTAGTGTCTAGGGTATTCGATATACGTTCTACAGCTTCATTGTTTCTGGCTGCATTCACTTTCGAAGGTTTAGGGTTTCGGGTTTACCTGGGTGGCGAGGAGAATCTGCTGCTTCTTTGAAGCAAAAGGCTCCCACACTTGCTGTTCCCTCATGTCGTTCGTTCCCTGCACAGCCCACCCATCAACAGCAAATAGGGTACAGGGTTTGCGTACGGGTTTGCGTGTACTGAAGGCCGCCGCCCCAATGCAACGTTTTCTTCTATCTAATCCTGAGTTGAAACGCGCTAAAAGAGGAAAGGAATATAAACAAGCTGTTTTGCCATCTGAATTGCACGGGAGAAACAAAGAGCGCAGTTCAAGTACAATACACCAAAACGGCAGAAGAACGGTGCCTATTGAATATAAAGTGCGAGGAAGTGCGAAGTGCAATGCGAAAAGAACACCAATACACAATCAACAACTTGCTGCGTCACACGAAGTGAATATTATATGTAACAAGCTGTTGTTACATAGGGCGAATACTATAGAGAGAACACGTGGGCGCATACAGTTTGCATGCAGTCGATGCCGTAGTAGGGGCAGTTGCTTTGCTGCTGCATCGCCTTGACGCGCTGCACTTCATGAATAGGACTGAGTCCCGAGTTGGCTGCAAGGGCCTCTGCGAGCCCGAGGAGTGCATCAGAGAAAGCGCGAGCAGCATACTGCCCTACAGAAGATACCGTGTCTGCTTGGCTCTCTACCGCCCTTGCTGCAGCAATCTCTGCTGCTCCTCCCCCAGCCACTACTCGACCGTCCCTCACCAACGCACTCACAACGCATAACGCGTCGTGCACTGAACGCTCCGCCTCAGCCACCAGCATCTGCGTGCCTCCGTACAGCACCAGCGTCACCGCACGCGAGTTGCTGCAGCCTAAAAGGCAGCCAAACGCAAACGAGCAAGCACACAAATAAATACACACACAACTACACACACACACACGAGCTGCAGTGAAGAGAGAAAAACCAAACACACATATGCACAAGCATAGACACATGAAAGCAGTTAGATATATGTAAAAATAACAGTTGAATATGCATATATATATATATATATTTGCCACCACAGCTGAAGCAGCAGGAGCAGCGGCAGCAGTATTTGGTTGCACCTTGAATGACGATCATTTTATCTCCCATTGTACCGGAGGGGAGTTCTTGAATACAGCCAGCTCTCCCAAGTTTGCTTTCGCTGAGTTCTTGAGCCCTAGGAACAATTCTGCCTTGTGTCGCAATCGCCAGCATTTCAATCTCCACTCCTCCGACCCAACGCACCGCAGGAATATCCGCATCCAACAACAAGTGGTTCGCCTCGTCGTCAAAGCCCCACTGACACACCACCTGCATCCCAAAGAACAAACACACGCAAACGTATATATATATATATATATATATAGCAATGAAGGAGCAAAGAGATGTGCTTCTCCGTTTTTGACTCGACAGGAAACCAACCTAGAGTACTTGAGCAGCTACACTCGAACCAATAATGCAAAAACCTAAACCCTAAAACCCGAACACGAAGCAAATATGCATATGAACGCACGCACTAGCAACTGGAGGCGAAAGACTCACAAAGTTTGCGCCGGCCTTCTTAACTTGGTCAATCATCTCTTTGAAGTAATTCTGCTCTGCAGCCTGGAGCTTCTTGTAGTCCGCTGCATTGGTGATGTCAAGCTTGTGCTTCGTCTTGGGTTTGGGGGGCTCAAACGGGCACGTCAATATCGCAATCTTTGCATCTCTTGTCTCCTTCCGCATCTGAGAATGACTCAAATCCTTGTGCAACACGATACCCCGCACCAACGTTGACTGCTCCAACAAACCACCCGCGCGGCCGTCTAGCTGCGAGCGAACAATAAACCGTCAATCCCAACACAACTAAGATTTTTGCTTTGCTGAACAGCAAAAGGCTCTCAACAAACGGCAGCGAACCCTCAATGTCAAGCCCTAGGCCCCATGGCATGAAGCCTGCAGCCTTTATAGCAGTCAAATGTGGACCCTTGAAGAATTCGAATTCGGTGTCAAACGGTATCGAGGAACAAAGCAAGAGCGCCACAAACACAGAGCTTGAAGCTTATGGTTGAGGCAATGTTACCTTAATCATGTCTAAATTCACGTCCTTCCTCTCCTTATCCGCAACCGCCAGCACCGCCTGCACGCAGAGGTCCGCCAGCTTCTCTTTGCAGCTGCTCACCACTTTGGAGCCCAGAGCCGTCTTCGCCGTCTGACGCCTGAACAACCAATGGATTCAAGTGTACAGACTCCTCAGTCACAGCATGTTCAGGAGACCTAAATGTACGTACACCTAGGAACAGAAATGATTGTAAAAACAAGGAAAGAAAACAACAGAACAGAGGAACAAAAACGAGAACCCCCACCCCGGAGCTGTGAACAATAATCGTGCACTCCAAATAACTCTACGAAGAACAGAAGGAGTATCCAATCCGACTTACAGGAGTTCCTGATCTGCACCCAAGACATCTTTTTCTATCGCAGCTTGTTCTAAACACTGCACGGCAATTTGAGCAGCAGCCTCAAAACCGTCCGCAACACGCAGAGGGTGAAGCCCCTTGTCAATCAGGCGCAGCGCCTCCGCAAGCAAATTCCCTGAAAAAACACAAAACAAATGGCGACAAATCGAAAAATGCTTTCAGCAAGTACACCAGCCAATCCATGGAATTCATTAGGCGAAATCCATCGACAAAGTGATGAAATACATCAAATAATTTGGCATCACCAGCCAAACTATGAAACACATCTACAGATTGATGAAGTGCAGATACGGAATCACGAAACTCACCTATACATTCATTCAATCCATCAACTTATTCATTAAATCCTTCAACTAACTCATGAAACCCATCAACAAATTCACTAAATGCATTAAGTAATTCATTATATCCATCAACCAATTCATTAAGTGCATCAATTAATTCATGAAATTCGTCTATTAATTCGTTAAATCCATCAATTAATTCACGAAATCCATCAGCTAATTCTTGAAACCCACCAACCAACCAATGAAACTCACCAATTATTTCGTGCGATCCACCCTAAACCCTAAACCCTAACACCAACACCGTAAGCCCTCTACGCACCTGCCAGGATGACGACGCCTGTCGTTCCATCGCCGATTTCTGCATCTTGAGACCTTGACAAATCCACTAACAGCTTGGCGCATTGATGCTCTATCTGCAACACCAAACCCAAGACCCTAAACCCTAGCCGGTCAACTCCAGAAGCGTATAAACCAGAGCCGCCAGCCTTCTCTGGCCTACTATTTATACAGAACACGCGTTTGAGGATTGTATTCGCGGGTTCACCGCTCGTTGACAGCATGGGGATTTTCCCTGCGGTTCCACTGAATGCAAGGGCTACTACTTGTGTCCTTGAGGGCGTAGGGTTTGCATTTTTGAGCATTCATGCTTTCAAGGGCTTCAGGTCTAGAGCCAGTGCATGAGGGATTATGGCTAGAACTTGTGAATTTGTGGTTTACGTATGATAATCTAAAGGTTTAGAGCTAGCGTATAAGGGTGGGAGGGATTAGGGTTTGCGTCTGGGGTGATAAGGGTTTGGGGTTGGTCCCGTCTGACCTGCATCCTATCGAGGATGGTTGCGCCGTCGTTCGTAACAGTAATGTCACCATCAGGACCAACAATAATCTTGTCCATTCCCTTGGGACCCAAAGAAGAACGCAGAGAATCAGCTACCGCCTTGGCAGCCGTTATGTTCGCCTGCACGTACACCCCAAGCAGTATAGCCCAAACCCTAAATCCTGAACGCCGAAACCAACACCCAGACGTTGGGCTTCGCCACGAGCCATGAGGAAGCTGCCAAACATCGCATGATAAAGTCTATCATGTATGATGCTTGCTTTTAGTGCAAACCCTAACCTTTATACCCCTTAAACACTTAACCAGAAACCCTAAACCTTGCCTTGTGAGCTTCGATCCCCTTCAGACGTTTCTTCTCCTCCTGCTCCCGCAGGATTATGAAGGGGTTCCCGAATTCGTCGGTGGCGATGTTCATTTTCTCTGCAGCGGACAGACACCTGCAAACCCTAAACCCTACACCCTAATCCGTAACTTTGGCGGTGGTGCCTATATAGGTAGCACCTCTCACACCCAGTTGCAGGCCCTACCACGCCTCTATCTGCAATGCCAGGTCCGCAGAAAAGCCTAAATTGTTAACCCTAAACTTTAGTTCTCAAGAAGCTGCAGCGCATGCAGGAGCCGAGAAGCGGCGGCACGGGGGGAGAGTGGGGAGGGCTGGGGCTTCACGAAGAGCTAGTGTTTAGGGTTTGGTGTTTACGGTTCAGGGCTTCGCGTGCAGTGATTAAGGTTTGATGGAAGAGGAAGGAAAGACAGACGCAGCACCGGGGTTCCCAGAAGCCGAAGTGCAGAGCCAAAGGAACGCAGACCCCCTATTCAAGGCGGCAAGTTGCGGTGTACGTACAGCTGAGACGTTTGAAAGTAAACAAAACTAAGAACGAACAAACCACCAAAGTCTTCATCCCATCAGCAGCCAAACAAAACCGCCGCCCCGTCGGCGCCCCTACACCGGTGAAGCGAGGCGAGCGTGCCTCTTTGGGGCTGGTGGGCAAACACAAAACCCTAAACCCTAAACCCTATATCAAAACCCTTGGTGTCGAATTTTGTTTAATACAGTGACGATGCAGGACATTTTGTCTTCTGTCGAAACAAGGCGCAATGTCGTCCGTCTCTCAACACCCAGACTTAAGAGTCCTTAAACCCAAGACGCTAAACCCTGGTTCAGTGGACGAACAGCCTATTCCTTTGAAACTTGTGTTTCATTGACTCATACACTCTCGAACTTACACCCTAAACCATCCATCAGCGCTTTTCAACGCGGCATGTGCAGCTCCCGCTCCCCGTGCAGCGGAGCCGGGGGTTTTGAGGATTTAGGGTTTAGGGCCTAGGGTTTGAAATGTGAATCGCACAATGAAGGGCGTCTTTGTTCATCCTGACCTTACAGGTTGCGCCTCCCGCCTCCCTCCAGCTCTACAGACACCGCCGGAGCATCAGCAGCACCTGCAACTTTGCGGCTGTTGCAGCTGTAACAAGAGCTGCTGCAGCTGCAACAAAAGCTGCTGCAGCTACAGCTACAGCAAATACTGATAACGGGCTTCCCGCCACTATTTACCAGTAGTGCAGCATCATGTGCCTCAAAACGGAGCAGCCTCAGCAGCAGCAGCAGCATCAAAACATGGGGGCAGATCTTTGGGCTTCCGTCTCGTGGGTGCCTGCTGCTCCCGGCGCTACAGTGGCTAACGAAGAGCTGACGAATCTATTGCTAAAAGGCGTTGCAAGGAGTCTCGAGCTGCTGTTGCTTAATGAGCTGCAGGAGCAGCAGCAACAGCAGCAGCAAATGCAGCAGCAGCGGCAGCAGCAGCAGCAGCACCACTGTGGGTTGAGCGCCCCGCGCAACAATAGCTGCAGCACCGTCTGCATATGTGGCTGCACGTCTCCCTGTTTTGTGTCTGTGAAACAGCAGGAAACTGCAGCGGCTTTTGCTGCTGGGCTGCTGCGTCGGGTGTACGTACACCTGGTGGCTGCTCTGTTGCTGTCTCCAGCCCCGACAGTGGACACTGCGCGCTCCTCGGCTGCACTACTGCTGCCTGCTGACGAAGCTAGACAGTGGCAACAGCAGCAGCAGCAGCAGCAAGAGCAGCAGCGTCAACAGCAGCAGCAGCAACAGAAGCAGCACCGGTGGCACCTGGTGCGGGGCGAGTGGCGAGGGCATTCACTTCAGGCTGCTGGCGAGCTGTGTCTTCTTGTTGATGCAGCAGCAGCAGCAGAAGCAACACGGCGCGCACCTGCCACTGCTGCTGCTGCGGAGGCTGCAGCAGCAGCACGCGAAGCCATTGCAGCAGAGTTTGTGGGGCCCGTTGCGCTGCTGCTGCATCGCCACGTAGTCTACGCTGCGCGCAGCAGCAGAAGCAGGTGCTGCTGTTGCTGCATGGCTCTTCTTGCAGCAAAGTGGCTGCCCGTGCTTGTGGGCAGTACCGTGCAGCAGCAGCTGGTACTGCTGCGGTCGCAAGGCCTCCCCGCTGCTGCAGCTGAACTCATGGAGCAGCAGCAGAAGCCGCAGGTGCAGCTTATGATGCAAAATGCATCGGCCGAGGAAAGAACGAGCAGCAGCAGCAGCAATAGCAGCAGCAAGAACAGCAGCGGCAAGGACAGCGGCAGTACCAACAGCAGCAGCAGCAGCACCGGCTTGTTCTTAAGCAGCAGCACCAGAGCATCAGCAAGAGAGGTGCCTTTGACTCGAGGAGAAGCAGCAAAGATGCATCAGTATTTCAGCACCTTGGAGATGATGGAGGTGGACGGGTATACAGACACCGCGAGAGATGCCCCCCGGCTCCCTGTTGTTTCCCTGTTGCGGCACGAAAACAGCAGCAGCAGCAGCAGCAGCAGCAGCGTAGGAGACATCGCGAAGATGCCTCAGAAAGGCGCAGATTTGTTGACGGTAGCTCTCGAGACGTGGACGCAGATGTCACGAGAGCAGCAGCAGCACCAGCAGGAGCAGCAGGAGAAGCTGGAGCAGCAGCTGCAACTTCTAATATCACCTCAGCGACAGCTGCATGCATCTTGGAGGAAACGGATTGCGGCCGAGGTTGTTCAACGTCTCTCTGCCAGACCCAGCAGCAGCAGCAGCAGCATCTGCAGCAAGGACGTGTCTCTAAGTAGTGCAGCAGCACAGCGCCCAGCAGCAGGAGCAACAGCAGGAATAACACCAGCTGCAGCAACAGGAGGCGCTTGCGGTGTAGCGCCTACTAAGGCATTTCAGTTGTTTGCTGGGCCCTCAAATGCTTCTTTCTCTCTCAAACTAATCCCCGCCTTGCTGAACAATCTCCCCGACTTCCTCGATAAGCGCATGCATTCCGGGAGGTGCCACTTGCTGCTGTTGCTGCTCCTGCTGCTCCTGGTTCTGCTGCTTTTGCTGTGCCTTTGCTGCTGTTGCTCGTATTCGCGCTGCTGCTGCTGCTGCTGCTGCCTGTGGGGCGTTGGTGCCTAAGGTTCGTTCTTCCAAGGTATGCGCGTTTCTAAAACCTGAACCCTAAACCCTACTGTTGCGAGTTAGGCTGGGGGAGCTTCTGGCCTTCACGAAGATCGTCCCTGGAGAGGTCTGTCGACATTTCGGCTTCCAACTTCAAAACCTCGTTCAGGTCTGCTGCCGCTGCTGCTGTGGCTTGTAGTCTGCTGCTGTGTGTAGTGCTACTAGAGCCTGCATTCGTAGGGTTTCTTCTGCTGTTCGCGGTGCTGCAGCTACAGCTACAGCTGCCGTCCGTAGCACTTATGTTGCTCCTGCTGCTGCTGTAACTACAGAGCGTACTGGTGCGGCTGCTCGTAGTGCTGCTGCTGCAGCTGCCAGCGTTGCAGTTGCTGATGCTGCTGCTGCTCAAATCGTTGGTGCTGGTGCATACATCCTTGCAGCAGCTGCTGCTGCCGTGCTGTCTAAAACAGGAAGGAGACACTGTATGGTCTGTCTCTCGCGGTGGCTCTCCGCCATCAGCAGCAACAGAAGCAGCAATGCCCGAATCAGCAGCAGCAGCAACAGCAGCAACGTGCTTCTGGTTAAACGGCCAGCAAGAAAGTGGCCTGCCGTTTGATTTGTTGCTGAAGATAAAACACGAACATGGAAGAGAAGAAATGCTATTTCTCGAAGTGAAGGCTTCTCTCCTTGTAAAGCCCAAAACCTCCCTCCAACCGTAGACTCTGTACCCTCACTCAAACCCTAGACCCAAAACCGTCGTTCAAACCCTAAAACCCTCACTCAAACCCTAAACCCTAAACCCGAGCTCAAACTCTTAACCCTAGCCCTTCACTGAAGCCCTAAACCCTAAAACCCCTACTGGAAAGGGGCGCTTTCAAACAATTGTTTAAAGCCCCTCACCCTGTTGCTGCCGCGCTAAGGCCAAAACCTTCACGCAAAGGTTTTGGTGGGCATTGCTCCCTGCGTGTCTAAATCGCAGCAGCTGCAGCAACAACAGCAAGAACAGGTACCGCAGCAGCATCGAAAACTGCAACGGTGGCAGAAGTTTGTGTGTTGGGTTTCTGCAGGACACGTGGGAATTTTGTCTGTCTCCTCCGCAGTTGCGGTTTGCGGCGGCTCATCCACGAGACTTCGTGTCAGTTTAGGGTTTAGGGCTTCAGGTGTACAGACAGCAGGAAGCTTCTTTGAAGACTGCGGGATGTGCTTTTCTCCTGCTTGCGTCGTATCGATTTGTCTTCGTCTCTTTGGTGTTTTGCCTTTCATTGCTCTTATTATTCGTTTCTCGCCTTTCTCGTTGCTCACAGTTTCTTCAACTCTACGATTATCGCTGAACCCTAGACCCTAATCCCTCAGACACAGCTCGCTCCCTATACAGCACCTCTTCTCTTTTCTTTGTGCCTACCTGCAAGGAATTATCGGCGCGTCTGCACAGGGCTGAGGGCTTAGGTTTCAGGGTTTGCAGTTGAGAGGTTAGGGTGCGGTGCGGCGCGGTGCGTGCATGGAGGTCTTTTTGTCTGGGGTCGAGGATTAGGGTTTAGGGTTTGGAGTGTGTGTGATGGAGGGCGTAGGGTTTTGATGGTGTCTTCACTTCGATCGGGATGCCCGCGTTGGGCCGCTGTCTCCTCTGTCTCCTCCTGTCTTCATTTTGAAAAGGGGGAGACAGATAGCCAAGAAGATCCGCAGGATCTTGAGATAGTGTCAGCCTTCACCTGTCGTTGCTGCTGCTCTTGCTATTGCACTTCCTGCTGCTCCGCTACGCTTCATAGGCGCTATTGCGTGATGCTAGGGTGCTGGACTTTGTTTTAGTTTGTTCATTTTCCCGCTTCTTTCTTGGCGTTTAGGGTTTTGGCTTTGGTTTCCTCAATGTCTCTGTGTTCCAGGCATCTTCGATGTCGCTGCTGCCGCCCCTCGCAGTCGGTTGGCGAAAGCCCAGAGAATTCTTGAGGCAGTTGCTGCTGCCACTGCGACTGTTCAACTTCCGAGCAAAGCTAGCACCAAAAAAAGCAGCCGCAGCAATAGCAGCAGCAGCAGCAGTTGCCATGGCCGTATAGATAAGCACTGAGCTTTTTGATTTTCTTGTAAATTTGTCTCCTCCCTACGTGTGTATTTGCTAATGCGTATTTATATGTGCGCATTTATATGTATTCAATATCACGTCCGTAACAGAGGACGGGAAGGTTTCGTCTGTACAGAGGCGGCTTCCTCTTTTTTCTTGTCGTCTCCACTTTGCTGTAGAACGGCTGACAGCACAGCACACTAAGTGCGTTTGCTTGTGCGGCCAAGAACGGCACCAATTAGAAATAATACAACCCTTTTTTAGCATCTGTAGACATACTCGAGAGCTACATTGTCAGGAAAAAAGGAGCAGCAACTGTCGCTGCCCCTTTCTTGGTGCAGGTGGGAGGGGCTGCTCTGTTCCGGCAGCAGTGCGGCCGCTTCTCCGTTGCTGAAGTTCAAAGAAAACGAGAAAAGGCATTCATAAAGGCAAATAATCGCACCAAAAGAAACAGATGAACCAGATGATAAAGAACAGCTGCGCGGAGGGCTAGTGCTGCCGTACCATTTTCTGTGCGAGGTGGTGGTTCAAAAACGGGCAAAATTAAGCTTTTCAGTTGTGTTATTGTTAACTAAACAAACAATGACGGAAAGTTAAGGTGCCCGTGTTGCAGAATCGCTACGCGCGCCGCGCCGTTTCCTGTTTCTCTCCATTTTTTTCAGCCTTCACGAACGGCTTCTCTGGGGCTTCACTGATGAAATAGAAACAACTAGTGCGCGAAATGCTCGAAATTGTCTTGAAAAAGATGCTGCCGACCCCCAAAACGCAGCGGACAGACAAACAGACACGCGGTCGTTCTTCTCAAGCTGCCACCCGCACTACCGCTGCCGATCACCTTTTTTGTATGTTTTTTTCAGTCGCTGCCTCCCCCGTTTCAACACTTTGAATCCGAGGAATCTGATTCTTTAATTTGTCTCGAATTTTTTCAACAGGCATTTGGGGACTTCGCCCCCACCTGTCCAGCAGTAATACGAGGGCCGTGCCTGTATGGGCAGGGCCGGAATCTGCACCTACGACTCTGCGTGGCTATTCATAAATTGTTGTGGATAATTTTAATACCGTCATATGCAAAATCCGTTGGCTGCATCGCATATACCTGCGTGCGGGCAAAAATTTCAGCTATAACTTCCCTTTTTGCAAATATGCGTGAACGTGCAGCAGTTGAAACACAACGGGGGTCAAGAAGGGAAGCGGAAACGCGTTGCACTTTAATAAAAGTTCTGCACCGCTTGATTTTGACATGCATACTTGTGCAGAAAATTAACTTTCAATTAAAAGGTCCGTAATAAATATTAATTTTTTTATTCGGGTAAGCATTCTTCGGCAAACGGCCACAGCACTGCAAAACGCGGCGTATAGCCGTGGGCTGCTGCTGCCACGCAGGCCGTAGTCACTGTGCTGCTGTTGTATTTGTTCGCTGTTAATGATCCCTATTTTTTGCCCGTTATTCATTGTAGTTAATTGCATAACAGGGAAGGAGAGGATATGCTCATTTAACTTTCGTTTCTAGGCGTTGCAGCATCTGCAGTATCCGCATTGAGGGGCGGCAGCCGCAGCAGCCCTCGTTCGCCTGGCCCCACAAATTGCCCTCCGGCTTGCTGGTGGTTTAGGTGTGTCTGCATGGGGACATAGCCTCCTTCTTTTCTTTCTTCTTCTGTTTATTTGGGTAGGAGTTCCCTTTTGGGGTTCCATTTGTTTTTATGCAGTAGCCTGGCGTGCGTGGGGCGTCAACTCGCCACGACTGCCGGCTGTGGGTGCTTCTTCACCTTGGTGTATTTGGGCTTGTTTCGCTGATCAACATTTGTGTTGGTTTATTTTGGCGTTCCTCCTATGTGCAGTCAACGCAAGTGGCCGTCTGTGTCTGAAAATGACTTAACTTCTCTCTTGGCCTGCGGCGTTCCCCGCCTCCCCCCCTCCTCTCTGTTGCCCCTGTATCCGCTTTTCTCTATTTTTTTCCTTTTGCATCACCTGCAGTGGCGCGTATCTGCCCATGCATGCGGCTTCTTATTTGTAAGGGGAGTGAGCGTTTTACATCAGTGTGGTGAGGGAGAAAGGAGGCGAAGTGGGGGTTTCTTGTTCGAACGATGGCGTGCTGTTGCTCCTGCCGCCCTGCAGCGGCGCGCTCCTTGGGGCCCTTTTCTCCAGTTCGCATCTGGCGCTATGGACAGACAGTGCACGGGACGCTCGGTTTGAAACTGTCTATGATGTTGGTGAGCGTTTTTTTTGGCTTGAAGGGGGTGCTGGATTCTCTGACAATAGAGGCGCTACTTCCTCTTTTTCGTGAACTGAATTACGATGGTGTGGCTTATCAGCGCACGCTGGCGATGGCGCTGACTCCGTACGCTCTAAAGGGCTTCATTGGCAGCATTAGCGACTACTTCCCCATAGGGGGGTATCACAAAAAATACTACATGATGGGCTCTAACCTCGTTGGCCTGGGCTGCGCAGTGGCTTTGGTGGCTCTCCCAGCGAGCATTAAGAGCAGCAGCATCATGTATGTGGGGCTGTTATACTGCGGCATTCATCTGCACATATCAACGGCAGATTTGCTGTGCGAAGGGGTCTACTGCAAGGTGGTGCAGGCGCACCCAGCTGTCGGGGCGAAGCTCGTTGCCTTTCTCTCCTTCTGCAACTCCACAGGACATTTGGTGGGAAAGACACTAGTCGGCCCCATCAGCGATGCTTTCGGTACAGCGCCTCTTCTGTACATGACGGTGCCGCTGGTGCTGCAGACGCTGGCTCCGATTTCGTTCAACTTTCTCGGGGAGACGAAGGGTGGGGTTAGAGAGGCGGGTGGAGCGTTCACGCGAGACAAAAGCCACCGCGGTGTATTTACAGTGGCTGTTCTGACTTCTATCAGCGCATGCATCGCGCTCGTGCTGACACTGCAGACGTGGAGGGGCTGGGCAGTGGTGTTTACTGTCTTCGTTGTGCTGCTGCTAGGAGGCGCCTCCTGCTACCTGCTGTCGCGGCGTCTCGCGTTGTGCGCAATGTTTTTCTTTGCCGATCGGGTGCTGCATTTGACGATATCGGGGGCAGTGAACTTTTATTATATTGCGCCTCCCTCTTGTGTACCCGACGGGCCGAACTTCGACTACACGTACTTCTGTACGTACACCGCACTGGTGGGGGCGATAGGCTGCTGGGCTGGCATCTACGCCTTTCAGAAATGGTTTAAGGGCTGGAGTGCGCGCACTATCTTCTGGCTGACGAACACAGTGCGTATTCTCGCGGCTTTATTTGACTATGTGATCGTGCGGCGGCTGAACATCCGCATTGGTATCCCAGACAAGGTCATGTTTATGTTGGGCGATGCAATAGTTTATCACTTGCTACTTACGCTGTCGTGCATGACGAGTTCTCTGACGGTAGCGCGCAGCTGCCCCCCTAAACTCGAATCGACGGTGTACGCAATCGTTTCAGGGGTAACAAACCTGGGCAGCACCTGCAGCAAGATGCTGGGTGCTGTAGCGATTGAAATCGCTGGTATTCAGATGAAGGAAACGGCGCCGGGGGGCTGCGACTTCCACACGCTTCCCAACTTGATTCTCGTCTCGCAGTGTCTTCTCCCTTGTGCATGCATTCCGCTCGCCTACTTCATGCTGCCCAAGGAGGCCCTCAACTCGGCCGTGCCGCCGCACCAGCGGAGACGCAGCAAGACAGCTTCTAAAGGCAGCAGCAATGACCAAAGCAAAACCCCTTGCAACCCACCTCAAGGCAGCCCCACAGCAGAACCTCCCTGTGATGCAGCCTCGGAAACGCTGGCGCTGCAGGAGTCTGTAGGAGGCGACAAGGAGGAAGTGGCGGTGGTGGCTGGAGACGCGGGGTCAAGGCCTCGCATTGTTGAGGTCTGACTAGACAAGACAAAGAACCAATCGATGCGAGAGAACCTGGAGATTCAGCGGGTACTGGACGCAGAATCCTCTTGTGTTTTTTTTCCTTCAAAGAACTGCACCGGGTTTGTAGCATTGCTGCAGGGGGGGTGGGGGCCTGCTGGCCCTCTGGACGTCTCCTGTATCGTGGTTCCTTTAGTTTCAGATTTGTCGCAGCTGGGCTGAGGAAAGAAGCGAAAAGGGATTATGAAGCCCTGGCTAGCAACAGCATCATCTGCATGCAAGTGCATGCATGCAACAACTGCTCTTCGTGTGTGAGGGTGTAGAGGCTGCGTTTGGGTCGGACATGTGCTGCGATATGTCTGCTTTCGCGCCTCCTGTTGCCGCCTTGAGTGGTGTTCATTTTCGTTCAGAGATCGGCGCTGCTTTCCGTCGATCCGCTTCGGAGTTCAGTTCACTTGTACCGTTTCCCTCGCTGGTTGCGATGAGGACTAGATTTCGTCTTGTGTGATCGAGGGGCTGATGGTGTTTATTTCCTTTATCCGTGATATTCGGAAGTGGCAACTGCGCTGAGCCTTTTAGAGGGCAGTTGTTGCTGCTATGACGCGCGCTGGGGTGTATCTGGTCGGCGTGTGAGACGTAGTAGTGGCGCATGCGTGCAGATGCATTGCACCGGGATTTCCTTATTTGATGCATCCTTTGTATTTCTGAAGGCTCTCAGCATGACGGAACTTCGCTTTCAATCTGGCTTTCCAGACCTAGCGCATCCGCATACTCTTTGCTGACTCCATTCAAATAGGTCAAAGGTGGAAACTGAAAAGACGTATCTGTAGAGTTTCAGTGTTTAGCAGTGAGTAGAATTGTGGGTAGAGTAAGTGGCGCACGTGCATACGATATCTGTAGAAGGAAAAACGCGTTTCGTTGTGACCGCAAGCACAAGGTATCTGCTGCACTAGAAGACAGAAACACAAATAAGCGGCGTGCATGAGAAGAACAGAAAATAATATTTTGCCGCGAAACTGGTGAAATGCACGACGAGAGCACCATCTTGAATTTTTCTTCGTCTAAACTCGAATGGAAGTGCTTCAGTGATCAAAGTCAGGTATATGCGCACCTGGAGGTTTAGAAAGCAGCCCACTTATGGCGTCTACTTCATTGCAATATAGTTCGTAATACCTCATAAACGTTTACAGATTTTAAGAACGGACAATGAGGGGAGGCTTTCAGGGTGAATAGTGCGTGCTGTCCGTTTCAAGTTGTTGCAAGAAAGCTGTAGTATTGAATGCAGTCAGCGCCCCGGTCTGCGCTAAGTCCCTTCCTCTTTGCCTTAATAGCGTCAACTACAGACCGCTGTCTGGTACTACGGAACAGATCAACGCGATTGGAGGAAGCTGGCGATACATTTCCGTTTGTGAATGCAACTTATATTGGTTAGTCAGATTATTGTGGGCGAGTTACCACATGGGGAACAAACGAAGTCGAAAGGTCGGGTCAGAAGAGTTGTATTCCCATTAAGAAGCGCCATATTTTCTACCTTCTGCTCTTAGCAAAGGCTCAGAGAATGTGAAAGGAAGATGCAGCAGAGGCAAGTCGCTGATTCATGCCCACACACCTATCCTGGGCATGATAAAAAAATGCGCATTTCTTACATTGTTTGAAGAATGATACATTTTTTGGAGAATGCAAAGCGTGTGCAT